TAGCATGCTTACGCAGTCGGTTTCGAATCTTTACGGGGATGAAGTCAGGCTGTTTAGGCCTCGTTTTCACAAGTCTTGCTGGAGCGATGAAGTCATGTGCAAATCCTAGGTTTGTTGGCAATTATTGTCGTACTCATGCTAGTGCAAATATTGAATGTACCTAATACTACTCTGTGGTCGCTACCAGGAAACTCTTTACCTACTCGAGGGGTAGTGGGGATGATACCATTAGTGAAAACTCAATCTAAAATCTTAGATAGCCTGGTAGGATGCTGTACGTGTTGTTGCCAGTCTTTTGTTTCTATTATGTTAAAAAATTCACGATACCGTTTTGGTGAGGAAAGTGGTTGCCAGACTACTTCAGGCATATTAAAGTCCCCACATATAATTTTAGCCGTGTGAGGTAGTGAAGTGGCGTAAGCGAAAGTGCTAGCAAGTTTCATATCACCTTCAACAGCTGAACATGGGGGATGATAGATGCAACCTATACGATAGGAAATGGAGTGAGACAGCTTTAGAATAGCCCAGACTGAGTCATTATCTGTGATGAGCTCGGGGTAGAAGCACTGTGTGGCCTTAATATCAGACCTGATATACATAGCGGATCCTCCTCCTCTGCCGTGGTTTCTGTCACCTCTGAATACGTAATAGTTATCAACAGAAATATCTTTATCGCATATCTGCGGAGTGCACCATGTTTCAGTAATCATTGTAAGAGACGGGTTGCATATTAAGGATAATGTCGTGAAGTCAAACATTTTGTTAATTAAGGAGCGAGCATTGATGAGACAGTATGAGAGAGAGTTAGGGGTGACGATGAAATCGTATATATCTTTAAAAACATTTTCCTCAAGGTTTGTAGCATCAAGAGCAGATTGTTTGATGGGTGCTAACTCAGATGGTGGCAACGTACTGGCAGTGCTAGAAAAGTGCACTACACCAGTATCGGCACAGAGAGGTGTGCTATCATTGGTTACCCCGGCGGATGTGAGGTGTCCATAATACCGTGACTGAAATGCATCGCCCTCCCCTCCGGTGATAAGTGGCTTGACAGTATGTGTGCTATTTGCGTCAATATTGAGGCTGAAATTTCGTGTTGGCTGAGAAAATTTAGATTGGATGAAGGGGAGGTAGGTATTTCTTGTGGATAGTATGCTGGGGGTAAAGTTACGCGCATCGCAGTTATGATTAATATTTTGTGTTCAAGTTATTTTCGTAAATATTAGTCCATCGATTATCTTGGGTGGACTGTATCCGGTGGTTGTCAGGGATGTGGTGAGTCAGAAGGCCGCTTTTAGGAAAGAAGCCTAACCCACTTGTTCCTTGTTGTAGGGGTCTCTGGATCAAACTTTTGTCTACATTAGCCGTAGATAGGGGAGTTGTGTCGGGGTAGGTGCATGCCTGCCGGTAGGGTTTCAACTTATTTCTAGGGTGCCCAGACATATAGCGTCTGTTTTGTCTATCGGATGAAGATTTGCTCGATGTTGGATGAATTGGCGGGTTACCTCTCCTTTCACTGACGTTATATTTATGGTGGTATGAAGACTTATTCAGCTTCCCTGGGTTAATGGTGGGATTGGAGTCACTTAAGTTAGTGTTATTTGGTTTGCTGCTGAGTAACCTATCAGTGACGGGTTTGAGAGAAGGTATTCTGGATGGCAGGGTTATTTTACTCCGTTTTGTGTGCACACTACTGTGAGTGCTACTCGGGGAGGTTATATTGAATGCTACATTCTCAAGCTTAGCCTTTTGCGTAGCGTTATTAGCAGCTGATGGTGATGTGTCTAGCGAGCATAACTCTAAAGATGCATCTAAGTCTATGGCCATATTTGCTTCACTGTTGAGTTTACTAGGTAAAGCTTTATTATTTAAGGGTATTTCTTTTTCACGCGTGTCTGTAACATTAGGTTTACTTAAATCTAAGGCGAGAGAGTCTTTTGTAGGACATTCTGCAGTTACGTATGTGTTTGCGACACTTGATACACTTGCGCGGCTACGTTTTTGACATGGAGTTAGGTCATGAGTAAGTTTAACGTTGCCATAAGGTGTAGATGAACTAATTAGCCTGTTAGACGACTGGAATTTCCTAGCATCATTAGGACTACTGAATTTAAACAGCACAGGACAAGTGTACTTTCCTGATTTTTTCCTGAGTCTGATTAGGTGGCAATTCGCTGATGGCAAACCGCACGCTTGGAGACATGTCACTTTAATTTTGTCCAGAGGCGTCCGATCAGGCAGATTGTAAGCAAGAACATTGTACGAAGACATGATACGTTTAGTCACTTCAGTGGCTATAAAGCCTAACATACGCTCAGCCTTCAGCAGACTTTCCGGATTACTATCATGAGTTGGGTTACATAGAAGCAGTAACGGCTTAATGGTGTTTATATTATCATTTAATTCCTTCACAGAGTTTCCTAGAGAAATAAGGTCCAACTTATTTTGTTTAGCAGTTGTGTATACCTCTGATAACAAATCGGACACAATGACTTCGGGGACGTTGTTGAGGCTAGGTGGAACGTATAGGGATGTACGTATCTTCTTGGCTGAGTGACCTAAACTATTCTTACGTATAGAAAGTACTCGTTTATTACGTTGAGTCATTGTTGAACACGGATCAGTATGGTTTGAAGTAGAAGCTGAGCTAAATCGAAAACAAGTATAGGGACAAATAATATATCGAGGGGATATATAGACTAAGAACTACTGTAGCACGGTATGGATTTTATTGCTTATAGATAAACAATAAATCGACAAAAGTATTAAACCGTAAAATACAGATTATATAGAAACCAATTGTCCTAAAAATTGATCCTGATTTATAAACCAAAAAATAATGAACTTCTCTATAGTTTTCCTTAGTGTGACGTTGTTCTTAGATTATAAAAAGGAGGATGAGCACTGTGAAAGAGTGGATCCAAACTTGATAACTGGCGGTGATACAACTGCGTATTTGGAAGCTAAGGTAGCAGCTAATATAAGTTAAAGTTGATGAGTGGTATAATATCCACTACAATATTCCAGAAATCAGTAAAAGTATATCCACGTTAGTTGGCCCAAGCTTCAGTCTTCAGACCCTGAACTGGCCCTGATTTACGAACGTGTTCGAGGTGGAGGCGAACGACCAACAGCCCAGGAAATAAGTAAGCTTGGATGGGAAACTCGGTGTTTGTGGGCTCTGTGGGACAATTTGAAAATTGTCGATAACATCCTTTACTACCAAAATGGGCCCACTTATACTCGCCGCGTTGTGGCACCACAGTCGGCACTACCCACGGTACTGTTGTCATTACACCAGCAGTTAGGCCACGCGGGCTCAGGTAAGATGATAGAAGCAGCTAAAAGGCGTTATTGGTGGCCTCATCAAAGAAAGGATATCGTAGATTTCTGTGACTCCTGCGAGGTATGCCAAACCATTAAGGCTCCACACAAATATAATAGGGCACCCTTAGAACCCATTATAACTGGCCATCCAAATGACTTAGTGCAAATAGACTTGGTTGGTCCTCTCCCAGTAACCTCTAGAAATAATAACTATATATTAGTCATGGTAGACCATTTTACCAAATGGTGCGAGGCTATCGCGATTCCTCAAATTGATGCTGTAACCATCGCAGAATCAATTTTCGACCACTGGGTCAGCCGTTGGGGGGCACCACTTCAGCTACATTCAGATCGAGGATCCAACTTTGAAAGTATCGTTGTTAGTGAACTCTGTCGCATAATGGGTATTCGTAAAACACGCACTACAGCATACCACCCACAAGGAAATGGTTTGGTTGAACGCACTAATCGGACACTAAAATCACTTCTGCAGGCATTTGTAGATCAAAACAACCCTCGGGAATGGGACAGATCTCTCTCGCAGTGCTTAGTGGCGTACAGAGCAAGCATTCACAAAGCTACGCGTCAAACGCCTCACTATATGATTACCGGAAGAGAACTCCGGTTGCCAGTTGACTTAACTTCAAACACACTAGGAGATGACACGCTGTTAGCATCAGAACACGTTATCAAACTGAGACGTAACCTAAACAAGGTACACCAGATGACTAGGGATATACTTCAAACAAATCAGAGGTACCAGAAGGAATACTACGACAGGAAAGCACATGGATCACCCGTGGAGCCGGGAGACAAGGTAATGTTACTAAAGGAGGCACCGCCTTAAGGGAAAGCTCTTAAATTCCATAAACGTTGGAATGGACCATTTACGGTAGTAGAGGTACTTAGTGACTGCACATGTAGGATCCAGGGTCCCAATGCCGCTCATAGTCTAGTCACACATTTTAATAGACTGAAACCTTTTCGGCAACAAGCCTTAGTTCAGACAAGTCCCGCACTAACAGCCGCCTAGCACTGTGGACAGTGCTCCTATAGGAGAGGGGGTAGTGTAAGGCCTGGTAAGTAAGCGGTTTTCTAGTGTTTAAACTGCATGTTTATCTAATTTCAGGTTGGCCACGTAGCGTACAGGGATTGGTCGCCCAAGACGACGCAACGGATGACCAATAGGAGGGCTCTTCCCCTCTCCCCTAATTATATTATGATTGGTTGTAAATAAACTCCTTGACCTTGAGTCTTCGTTCTTACTAGCACGCGGCACTTGTGTGATCACCCTGCTAACGTGCGCTTTGCTCTCTGTTTCAGATCATTGCTTGACGATTGGCCCTACACCACTCTCTAGATTATACATATGAGCGTTTGCTATACTGCGCGCAAAAATATCTCGCGATAGCTTTTATAACCACTAAATGTTAACATTATTACGCTTGACTAAAGTTAATTGACCAGAGCAAACGGTCAACCTAATAACTTTGACAATCATGATTTCGCTGTGTATTGTGTGAACATATCAACCATCTGTATTCTCGCCAAAACAAGCAACATCAACACCTCAAGCTAACACAGTGATCAACTACGCTTCTCAACAGCATTCTATTTCTGCAGCTAAGAAGCACGTACCAACCTACTGTTTTGATAAGTGGTCACTCGAAGGTCACGCGTCTGATGTACAGTTTCTCATAAACCAGCTTCAGGTCGCAACTTCAAATCGCTGCGTTACTGAGGATGTCAACAGTGTTTTCGATTGTGGTTTGAAGTTATCTGCTCGAAAACCCTATACATTGTCCGCAATTATTTCCAAAATGTCTTTTGACCTGTTTCTCGGCCAATATTCCCCCTCTTTTGTTCGCTAACTATCTCCAAGCTATCTGAAAATAATAAAGTTTCAGTTGGTTCACTTATAATATGGCTCAAAGCCAAATTGGATCGATAATAGATGTAGCGAAAACAAATTATCCGTCAACCCTAAGGTTTTGCATGTGCTGCTCCGCTGCGTTTGTTTCTGAAACGAGTGAGTGATGCCTACCAATATACCATTTACCACCTTTAGTCACCTACCCACTCGACATATTGAAGACTCGAATTCAGGTTTACGGAGAATTGCAGTCCTCATCATATCCTGGAGTTTATAAAATTTGTGCATCAGTTATCAAGAATGAAGGACTGTTTCAGCTGTGGCAGGGTTTGTCACCTGCTCTCTTTAGACATATTAGTAAGTACTGCTGTGTTTTTCTTAGTTTATGACTTTGCTTTTGAAATGGGTCAGATATCTGCACATAAAATGTGTTAAGCTCTTGCTGCTTCTGTTATTTCGATAAGCTATGCTCACAACTTTGTTGTTATCCGTAGTAGACACACTTCGAATCTTTCGAATGAAACATTGTCAGAATTATTGGTAGAGATATCTGCTGATGACTAGCTAGCTATTCATCAGTATGCCTACTAGCAAAGCCGAAATTTCTGTGTTGTTATTTCCGAAATGCACACAAGGTTTCTTGGAATTTCGGAGAAGTTAATGCACATTCTAACACTGTATTTGTTTAAATCTCAGTGGTATTGATATGTTGCGTTCATTATACTGGTCTGAACTTCGGAGAAATAATCAAGACTAACACGCTAGAGTTATACTTAAATGACCGATCACATATTGTGTGTAAACTCTTTCAATCACGCTTAACACATTTGATTGAACAGAGTTATTGGTATTCATCTCCCATTTTTACTGTCTATATCTAGGTGAATCGTTGCTCAGTATATTGTTTCTTCGATGGGTAGTGATTAATTGATTAAAGTAAATGTACCCTACCTCCAGTTCAAAAGACTGACTAATGAACAAAGAACATTCTTTTTGATAAATTCGTCATCAGATTGTATGACCATAGGACCATAATAATCAGATAATTATTATTGTTATCAACAACACTAATGTTTTAAGTTACGTTGAGTCAGTAGCATCGATAGATTACATTTCGAAAGCTTCGGTTACAGATAATAAGCATCGGTATAATACTAAAGTGATTATCAGATAACTTGGGGAAAGTAACATGATTTATGAATTTAGAAGACAAGCGGAGAAAATCTTCTCCATCGACAAAATCATCTCCAGAGGCTGTACAGTCGTATTTATACTTACCAAAAATCTATAATCTGTCTGTCTCTCTGTCTGGATTCAACATAGAACTTGGCACCGAAGTGCAGCAGTTCGAGTTGCCAATCGAGATGACAATCTATAATAGTCTACTATTGAGTAATAGGGGGTAACATAATTGATATAATTACTCAGAAGTGGCTTTAGAAGTAAAAAATAAAAGTTGTAAATTACGTGGTACTCAACTGCTGCTGCTGCTGGTGGATTCAACATAGAACTTGGCACCGAAGTGCAGCAGTTCGAGTTGCCACGTTCCAAATAGCACACAAAGGTAGACCAGAAAATGAGAGAAGAGAATCAATAGAATTTAGATAAGTATAAGAGTGAAACAGAATGAGTAATGGTAGAAAGGAGTATGAAGGTTAAAGAGACTGAATACATCTGCTTAAGCCATTGACAACGATTTTAAGCCATGTCACCTATTGTCTCCAGCCATTGATTCTTAGAGTCCCGAGGGTGGGCACAAACCCGGAAGTCTGCATCTCCCTACCTGACTCAGTTTAACTGTCAAGGATTTCATGGATTGATGAGGTCATGTTTTTGTTTGGCCACCATTTATTACTCTTTTCCAACCTGCACCTATATCAGCTAGTAATGCCCGTCCGTCGGGGGAGACGATGGTTAGGCATACGCAGCACGTGACCTAACCATCTCAATTTATGTAACTTCATAGCCTCTTCTATTGATTTTCCCTCTTTGCCCAACACTCTACGCCTAACGTCAACATTACTTACCTTATTATACCACCTAACGCGAGAAAGAGATCGTAAACATCTGTCGTCAAAAACAGACAATCTCTTCATGTCTTCCGCTCTCAATGGCCACGTCTCACCGCCATAGAGAAGGACGGAGCGAACTGCTGAGCAGTACACACGTCCCTTGGTTGACAGCCGGATGTCACGCCTACGCCAGAGACGGTGTAAGTTAGCGAAAGCAGCCCGAGCTTTCTGGATCCGTGCTGTGATTTCGTCACCGCAAACTAAAAGTAAAATTGAAATTTTAAATTTAAAAAATTATTTGCGTTTACTTTAATAATTAATTAACTATTATCACTCTCATATGTTCCTATTGTACATCTTCACATCCTATTCACATTTGTTAAATCGACACTCAACTACCTTTATTCTCACGCAACAGCAATGTTAACCTTATCAAATTTCTAACTTTTTGCTGTTGAGTACCACGTAATTTACAACTTTTATTTTTTACTTCTAAAGCCACTTCTGAGTAATTATATCAATTATGTTACCCCCTATTACTCAATAATAGACTACTATAGATTTTTGGTAAGTATAAATACGACTGTACAACCTCTAAAGATAACGCTGTCGATAAAGAAAATTCTCTTCGCTGAATTGTCTTTTGTTTTCTTCATGACTCAATGAGTATTTTCGGTGATCTATGAATTTATAGATCCCACAACAGGACAGGGATGAACTGCTTATTTTGAAAGCAGTGCTCTAGTTGATTTAAGTTAATTGAAATGGTCTATGGTTTTTGGAGTGTTCTATATCTAGAGGCCTTTAGTTTCAGAACTACAATTGGTTGTGTGGGAAGTATAGGTTTGAGCTTACTGGAATTAAACGTTCTTTGAATCAAATCTCTAAACTAGTTCGTTATTATTTCATCACATTCTATACAGAGGCTTATTCTGAACAGATCTAGAAAAATCGTTTCCTACTCTCTTGATCATGTGTTTAGTGGTGAACTTTTCAAGGTACTTTTACTTTACTTTACTTCGGCTATCTCCTACGGGAGGATGAGCCGGCTTCATGAACATCTCGAATCATCGCTGCCCAGGCGCGGCGATCTGATGAAGAGAGTTCATGAAGTTTCATGGGAATTCGGTACGAGTGATGTCCCCAGAATCGCTCGGCCTTTTGTTTGAGAGTGCAGCTCTAGCCTTTACACAACCAAGTGTGACCTGCAAGGCAGTAGGAGTGGAGTAGGGAGTCCACTATCCATTGTCAGCCGGTGACCGGAGTTCCGTTCATACGGCTTTTTGAATGGGGCCAGACATCCAGGACATCCAACAAGCCCTTTGTCCATACGTTTGCCGGTGAGCTCCAGTGAGCTTCATACGCCAGTCGTTGGAGGTTTGGAATTAGGGTTTAGCCATCTCCCCTAGACTGTCATCCAATGGACAGTCAACCCGGTTAAGAGCTCTGGGCATCCGCTTTCGCCCTCTCACTTTGGTGAAAAACACCTCCGCCACGTGAAGGCAGTGAGTAGGACTTCCTCAGGAGAGGCTATGTAAGACACCCGGTTATATGGGAGCATTTGAAGAGGTGTGCGGAGGGGTGGCCAACCCGCAGCGCAAGGCACCCACCCCCGACCATCCTGAGGCTTTGGAGGTATCTGTTTTCAATTAACGCGTCGTATACAACCTTGAATTTGTCTTCAATGCCATCTCAGATAAACAGCTCTGACCCTGTAGCTGAGGTTCTTTACCAAATTTCTTTTGTACCAGACGAACAAAGCTTTAAAAATGCGTATATTGACTGGTTCAAGTACTTTTTTATGCGAATTTCTTTTTTACTGCCGTCCGATCTCCTTATCAGTAGGACGTCTAAAAAGGCAATTTTACTTTGGGATTCTTCTTCACACGTGAATTTGATAGTTACATGTGTTTCATTGAATTAAAGTATTACTTTCCTGTCGAAATCACTTTCAAAAAAGATGTCAGCAAAGTGGACACTTCCATTCCGATTATCCCGATCATCATATTGATCGACTTTACGGGATATTAGTATTCAGTGATGAGAATTCGAAGCATTCACTAAAGCGTTTGCTATTAACTAAACTTAGTTCCTTAACAAGTCATTAGTTCATGTCATCTAACCGTACTACTTCCGAATCTTTAACTTTGTCTTATCAGGAATAATCTGTCGATAAAGCAATACAGTTCCTGAAATACATATAGAAATATTACGGTGTATACTAGTTTAATTTGAATGGAGGATGCTTGTTAGTACTTTAAATGAAGTGAAGGGCAAGTGGTTCGTGTATAAGAGCAATTATTCAGGTATGTGGATGAACTCGTCGAAAAGAAATTTTTCACTGAACTACTTAACATTTTCTTTTTATTTGATTAATGTGCCAACAGCAACCCTAGTATATAGCTATGTAAATGTACTGTAGACTTTAAGAGAATCTAAAATAGATGAGCCATTTAAAAACACGTGCTTCATTGCTGTCTGACTTGCAGAAATTATGGTTCTAATGACTTGGTTGAAAAAAGATAAAAGAAAAGGATACCACAACTAATTAATAGAATTTAACTCTTAAACGTGGTTACCATCATCATCACGTGGTTCATCATACAAGATCTAAAGTAAAAGCTAAAGATGTTATGAAGTCATTCAAAAGATATAGGATTATGAATGAACTAGTATTCGGACGCATTCTAATGTATTTGAATAGTGTAGCAATATGTCTTACATCTTCAGGCGTAATGTGCTGTCTTAAATTGACTGAAATGTTTTGGCTTTATTGATATGTGTAAAACTTGGGCACTGTGGTAGTAAGTAATTCCATATTAGTTTGTTTATTAGGTATATCACACAGTGAAGCAGCATTATTTATTGGATGATGTTTCGAACAAAATTTATCGTGGTTCATAATCATATCAATTGTAATCACACAACTTTGACACTTGAGTTTTATAGCTTTCTTTGTTCTCTCCTATTTGTCGTATGGGTAGTAGAATTTTCCAGATATCTGGGACAGGTGATGAATCATTCCTATTACTCGTATTTGCAGTTGATTCGATAAACAAGGCTTCTGTTATCAATCTCTCCCTATTCCTTGTGACATTAGATTTTAAAACTGTCATCCTATCCCATCCTATTGTATGGTTGTGTGTGACTGCATGCAGTGAGTGCTATAGCTGAACTATTCTCTAGATTTCTTATCTTATTCGGGTCAACTAATCTAGATTTCGCTGCTAGGTTTTTATGCTCGGCTAGTCTGACTGACTGCACCTGTTCTACTACTTCGACCTATGTATTTGACCTGACAATCATTGCAGGGTAATAGATAAACTAAACTGTTTTGCTTTAAATCAACTGCAAATACGTTCAATGGAATGGTTCAACACCAGTCCCAGATATCTGGAAAATCATACTACCCCAACGACGACAAATAGGAGAGAACAAAGAAAGCTATAAAACTCAAGTGTCAAAGTTGTGTGATTACAATTGATATGATTATGAACCACGATAAATTTTGTTCGAAACATCATCCAATAAATAATGCTGCTTCACTGTGTAATATATCTAATAAACAAACTAATATGCAGTTTTGGCTTTAATTCACCCACCTTTCATTTTCAAATTCTTTAGTCCTTCTTGATACAGTCAGTAAATGTCATGCTTTTTGGGTATGGCCTGTTTTTTATTCCTTCACGTTCCCAGTGGAACATAGGGCTTCAAGCTAGAGACTACCAGTCCTATTAATGGCTTAGCGAGGTAAAGAAGTGCGTTGGCACAGCGGTAGAATGCTCGCCAACCACGCAGGTGGTTCAGGGTTCTGTCTGTCTGTCTGTTTTCGGTCCCCAACCGACGCACTCCTTTACCTCGCTAAGCCAGCAGTAAGACTGGTTAAGAGGGAAGGTTGAGCATGAGGCTAGCAACCCCCATCCCGTGAAAATGAATACCACTGCTACCGAAACTTCATGTCTCTAGCTTGAAGCCCTATGTTCCACTGGGTATGACCTGTATACCCATGTAATTCATAAACCTCCCTGGGTACAACAACAAAATAGGATGGGATTATTTAATAACAGTAAAAAGTTATATATATATATTGTATAGGTGATCTTAAAGGTTGGTCATAGAATCCTTTGCCCATTTCACTAATAGTTAACACTTCAGAGCAACGATGTGACACTAATTGTAGATATAAGAGAAGAAGTAGAACCATATAAATCACGACAGAAAGTTCAGTGAATACATTGATATGATTATGGGCAATAAATTGTATTCATAAAGTCATCCAGTAGATAATATTGTTTCAATCAATGCTTGATATATTCAATAAACAAATTAATATAGAATAACATGTGACCACAGTGTTGAAGTTTCACACATTCATTAGTTTGATTACATTTCGTTGACATATTGCATCACGCATGACGTTCCAGCACATATTTTAATAGAAATTTATTAAAACGCTATTTTCAGAGCGAACATAATACTATGAATGCTGGCTTTCAGCAAGTTTATGTAACATGTTTTTCATAGTAACCTGGTGAAAGTTATAGTTGTTCTAGTCAGTTATTTATTATCTTTTTAAATGTTGTCCTATTTCTAAAAAATTTTCGTGCATACAAAGAAGAATCACTTGTGGTGCACGCACTTTAGGGTTTTTTGCCCTTGTGATTAATGCTTCTTAGTGTTCCACCATTTTGCAGTGTGGCTCTTATCAGCTAACTACGGCATTGATTTCATTAAAAATAAAGAAAGGTAGGAACAGATAGGCTTTTTAAAGTATACTCATTGAGAAATTTTCTGTCAATGTAATTGTCTATCTGTCTGTTTTCGACATAGAACTTTGCACAAATGTGCGGCAGTTCAAGTCACCACACTCCATATAGCACACAAAGCAAGAGAAGAAAATAAGAGAAATGCATATTAGAGACAGAAAACAGAGGTGTGAGACAAAGGAATAGTAATAACGAATAACAATATAGTTTCATTGGAAATCATAAGTCACAAGGAGTGGATGCATCTGCATCACCCATTGATAACGATTTTGAGCCATGTCACCAATTGCTTCCAACCATTGGTTTTTATCGTCCCGAGGACCTCAACCAGGAAGTTTACACCTTCCTACGTGGCCTAGACTAACTGTTGTAGATTTCATTGACTGGTGCCATGTTTTTGTTTGACTGCCGCCAGCTCTCTTCCAGCCTGACCCTATATCAGCTAACATTGCCCGTTGGTCGAGGAAGGCGATGACTAGACATACGTAACACATGTCCTAACCATCTCAGTCGATGTAATTTCACAGTCTCGTCGATTGATTTCCCCTCCCTCCTTACCTAGCGCTCGACTGAAGCCTAACCTCAATATTGCTCACCTTATTATACCACTTCACATGGGAGATAGAACGCAGACACCTACGATCGAAGACAACTAGTCTTTTCATGTCTTCCGTTCTCAATGGCCAGGTCTCGCTCACAGCCATAAAGGAGGACGGAGCAAACTGATGAGCAGTACACTCACCCTTTGGTCGATAGTGGGATATCGCGTCTATGCCGGAGACGGCGTAAACTGGCATATGCGAAACTAGCCCTCTGTATTCGTGCTGAAATGTCATCAGAGATCAACCCGTTGGGGCTGATGGTACTTCCCAAGTGATTGAAGCGGTCAACGTGCTCTACCACTTCACTTCCTATTTCTAATCTAGGAGTCGGTGTAGTCCAATCTTGTAGCATCATCTTATATTTGGCGGGAGCGAATCGCATGCCAAACAGTGGTAGATCGCAGCTCAAGGTGTTCAGAAGACTCTGCATTTTGTCAATGTTAATGTAATTAAAATCTTTAATAGCAAAAGTGACTGACGTAGAACTATGCACAAAAGTGTAGTAGTTCAAGTCGTCACAATTCATAAAGCATACATTGAAGGTGTAAAGAAAAGAGAAATGCAGGGAAACTATAAGAAGCAGAAGTGTATGAAGGAAAAGATTGGGTGAAGAACTCAGCTTTCAACCAGTGAATAAAATATTTGAGTCTGACCCTACTTATTTCAATATTTGTAACTGGGTAGGATCGAAAGGCCTCACACGATAAGTTTAGTATATAGCTTAGTATATGAAATATGTGTTCTGGATAATTGAATCAAAGCATATTAAGATTTAAAGAAGTGTAACCTTTTATAAACATCTACTTTTCAACTTAAACCCAGTATTTATTGAACTGTTCATTCAATCAAATCTTCATCGATGTATACGTTCGCTAAAATTTGTTGAAGTTATTTTGACTTCCCTGTTGATTCTGTAATACTGTAATAAACTGTAATACTTGGTCTGTGTATACACATTGGCTCCTGGTACAGACGCTTGGGCGAAGCTTTGAGATAAACATGATGTCACTTGACTGGTAATGGGACTCATGGCCTACTGGATAACACTTTGACGTATGAAACTACATGTGCTAATCTCGTGTTTCATTGGGAACACTTTCATTCACTACTGATCAGGTAAAAATATGTGACGAGTCACATATAGGACGAAATGCAAGTCGTACATAGTGCTACTAACTACAGCCGAACAATTAAATTCGCAATCTGCAAATGTATTTTCACTTAGCACACTTTCAGGTGAAATGGCAAATTAATTAGTCAACTACGAATTTGATTTATGAAACTACCAGTTCATCCAAGTAGCTAACCAGAAGTCGGGTGGTTTGAATTTAACAGGTTCTCTGAGTCTAGTCAAAATAGGTATACCGCTGATGAGCTCAGCCCTAAACGCGAGTTAAAGGGCCGTCTGGTTTGGCTAGCTGGCACTACTGGTTGATGCGTGTGTTATACAACTCCTCATCCTGATCAATCAGTAGTAATATAGTCTTACATAACTGAATAAGTAACATACAGTTTATATATTATAACTCTTTTTAAAAATACACAATGTACTTTGAATTATTTTGTCTAACAAATGCTTCCTTATGTGCCACTTTATTATTACCCTGTAAAATCTTATTCTTTTATAGTCTATACTGGAGCTAGAATGCCAATTTATGAAATGATTCGTCAAGATGTCTTTCATTTACCACCAGCTAGTCATTTCACTATCAAACCATCCAAGAACAATGATCATTTGGGTGAGCACATTCAAAATTCAGAGGGTTTTTAATTAGATACTAACTATTCGTGACTATTACTTCACAGAGAAGGCAGAAACTGAAATCGTTTATGATAAAAAGCTGAGTTTTATGATCCGTGCCGCGTTAACCGGTGTTATTGCTGGATCTATTGCTCAATTCTTAGCCAGTCCAATTGATCTTATTAAGGTGAATTACAATTTTTCAAAAACTTTTTTTTCGATCAAAATAAATGCATGTTCGTTCAGTGGCAGGTTTGGATTCGATTCCCGACCGACGCGCTCCTTAATCTTGACTAGGCAGTAGTAGGTGTAGAAGAGGAGAAAGGTCGGGCGTGGAGCTAGAAACGCCACCTCGTAAAAAAAGCATCACCACAGTGGCGAGTATCTCTCCTCATGCCAAACTTGTTGGACTGCACTGATCACGGCTTCCTACTAGAACTTCAGGCAATTTCACCCTGTGGTCAGCCACTAGTGATCAGCAAATTAAACATGAAATCTATCGAGTCCTTGCAAGCCAACACTTGAAAATTAACACTTAACTATTTTTATAATTCTTTTGTTGATTATTACCTCAAGAGGGTGTTGCTGTCTTTCGCTATCCATACACAGTTATATCTCCTCCTCTGTTCATATGTGTAGTCAAAAAGGGAAATATCAGTATCTTGAAGAATAAATCACTGTTGAATAATAACTGTGAGATAGGCTTGGTCACGAACTACAATCAGTAAGGGAGCACTCGACTATTTTTTTGTCCTAGTATGGGACTCTTCATAAGCACACACCCATGACGAAAACTAAGGACTAAGTCTATGACCTTGCGAGTCACAAGGCGAGTCAATGGATGGGGAATAAATACCTCTGTCAATCTACGATACAGCCAGATTGTCATCTAATGTCATCAGGAAGTATCTGATCTGACATGCGAGTTGGTGGAACTACAGTAAGTCCATCCTGTCTTCAGTTAAGGTGATATGATAATGACCAGTAAATTGGACTGAACACCTCATCAGTAAATAAATGATACTATATCATTGTGTAGCGTCGGTGGCATAGCGGTTAGGACGCTCGCCGACCATGCACATGGTCCGGGGTTCGATTCCCGGCCGACGCACTCCTTTACCTTGCTGAGCCAGAAATAATGCTGGTGAAGAGGGAAGGTTGGGAATGAGGCTAGCAACCCCATTCTGTAAAACAAACACTACTACAGAAACTTCAAGCCACTAGCTTGAAGTCCTATGTTCCACTGGGGAATGTGAAGGAAAAAATATCATTGTGTAGTATGTCAAATAAAAAATTATTCTATTTTGGACTAATCTTCACTTCTGTGAAGGACTTAAAGTCGTCGTAACTCTCACTGTCTGGAACTTTATCTTTGCACATCTACTTTTGTCTTTTTTTAGTGGTAAAGATCATTTCATTTAGCTGGATTTATTATCTGATATTCGCTGTTTACAATTTTATTTTATAATTTAGGTTCGTTTACAAACAGAACGCAGATGGTTATCAGAAATTCATGTCAGTGGTGATAAGTCTGTTAATCCTTCTGCAATACCTACAAATCAACAGTAAGTGATTTTGAATATTAGAATTTCATTATCATTGTTATACTGCATATTTCTAAAAAAACAACAAGCAGTTCAGAGAAGAGGTCTTTTTTTCAACAATTTCTAGATGGTAAGAACCAATGGCTTGAAACTGTTAGTGATATGACTGAACATCATTCTCAATGACGTAGATACATTCAGTCCTTGTAGTCTCTCAGATCCATTAAACCCTCACTTTTTTCCCATGTCATTGTTCTTTCTCCTGAAAATTTATGTTCGTTATAGTTCTTTTCAAGTCGTGTACTATATGGAGTGTGGCAAGTTGAACTGCTGGACTTTACTGGAAACTTCTATGTTGAAAACTTGCTCAGTCAGTTGCCTACAGAACTAGACTACATCGATTCCTAGCTTAGAGATAGGCAGTGAAGTGGAAGAGCGTGTTGACCATGTCACTCATTTGGGAATTTACATCAACCCCAGTTGGTTTATCACTGACGAAATCTCATCACAGATACAGAAGGTTCATTTGACATGTACCGACTTACGCCATCTCTGGCATAGACGTGGTATCCAACTGGCTGTCGATGAAAGGACGTGTGTACTGCTCAGCAGTTTTCTCTCTCCTCCATTATGGCTGTGAGTGAGACATAGCTATTGAAAGTGGAAAAAATGAAAAGGCTGGTCAGCTGTCTTTGATCATAGGTGCCTGCGTTATATCTCCCATGTTAGGTAGCATAATAGGGTGAATAACATTGAGGTTAGGCTTCGGTCGAGTGCTAGGTAGGTGGGAGGGGAAATCAATCGACGACGTTGTGAAACAGCTGCACCGATTGAGTGAGATAGTTAGGACATGTGTTACGCATGCCTCCTAGCCATCGCCTTCCTCGATGGACAGTGTTAACTGACACAGGATAGATGAAGTTGGGAAAGAGCTAGTGGTGGCCAAACCAAAACATAGCCTTATCAGTCAGTGAAATCCACAACAGTTAGTTCAAGCTAGCCAGCCACATCAAGAGGTGCAGACTTCCTGGTTGTGATCATCGGGAGCTGGAGACCGTTGGTGATATAGCTCAAAATCATTCTCACTGGTGCAGATACATTCACTCCTTGTGACTTATAATATCCAGTAAAACTCTATTGTTCTTCCCTATCACTCTTCTTCTAGCCTCACACTTCTGTCTATTATCTCTCTCTTTACTCTCTTCTCTTGCTTTGTGTGTGCTACATGGAGTGTGGCAAATCGAACTGCTACACATCTGTGCAAAGTTCTATGTTAAAACCAGTAAGTCAGTCGTTTCACTATCTTAAGCCTTGCGAATGAATTTATGTACAATTCTTTTATTTTATTAGGATAGTACCGAAATAGATGAGTAGTCATCAGTGCAGTTGCTAACATTAATCAGTATATATGTGTTTATATACATATATTATTATTGTTCCCTTGGGTTCCTAGTGGAACATAGGGCTTCAACTGCACGCCTCCACTTGCTTCTTTCTTCTTCAATTGCATCCATGTTAGTCTATACTGTTTCAACTCTTCTTCACACGATCTCCTCCATGTCACCCTTGGACGTCCCACTCGCTGCTTCCCTTTCGGGCTCCACTCGAGCACTGGCCTGACACGCGATGCCACCCAGCGGGTGGCCTCCTCAGCGAGTGTCCAATCCATCTCCACTTTCTCCTGCATATTTGTTGAGCGATTGGTTCTTGTTTTGTTTGTTTGTTCCCATAGCTTCTTGTTGGTTCTTGTTCTTTCCGGCCATCTGATCTTCAGTAGTATAGAACGAAGACAGTTGTTGATAAAGGTCTGCAACAGGCTGTTGGAAATATTCTTTGTGACCCGCCAAGTTTCTGATCCGTATAGAAGAAGTGACTTGACGTTTGTATTGAAAATCCGAATTTTGTTGTTGATGCTGAGTTGAGTGACGAAGATTTCCAGATTGGTTTCAGGTTGATGAATGTGTTTCTCGCCTTCCTGATTCTCGATTCGACATCGTCGTCCGTTCCTCCTGTAGTTGAGACAATGCTCCCTAGATAAGTGAATGAAGTAACTTCTTTCAAATCCCTCCCGTTGATGGTGATTGCCACTGGATGTTGCTGCTGTTGTTGGTTGGTTATTTTCATGACCTCCGTTTTGTCTATGTTCACCTGGAGTCCTGTCTTTGCTGCTTCTTCGACGAGTTTGTCGGTTTTCGCTTGTAAGTCTTCGATTTTGTGTGACATCAAACATAAGTCATCCGCGTAATCCAGGTCTTCTAGGTTCTTCACGTCGGTCCAGGATATCCCTCTCTTCTCGTTTCCCATTGTTTGACGCATAATCCAGTCCACCACAATTAGGAATATCATTGGTGATAATAAGCACCCTTGTCTGACTCCTGCGTTTACTCCAAACGCTTCACTGAATTTTTCCGTTGTGGATCACTTGACATGTGCCGTTGTCGTATAGCTGTTGAATAAGGTTGATGAATATTTGGGGTATGCCGTGGTACTCGAGTAGTTTCCAAATTACTTCGCGGTCAGCGCTGTCGAAGGTCTTCTCAAAGTCTATGAAGGAAGTTGAGGTAGAGGTTTGATTGCCATTCCATGCTTTGTTCGATGATGATGCGTGGAGTTGCAATTTGGTCAGAACATGATTTCTTTTCCTGAATCCAGCTTGTTCTGGTCGGAGTTCTGTAACCAGTGCGTCCTTTATTCTCTCCAGGATGATGCGACTCAGGATTTTACTTGGCGTCGACAGGAGCATGATTCCTCGCCAGTTTTTGCAGGGTCCTAAGTCGCCTTTCTTTGGTAATTTCACGAGGTAACCTTTCCTCCAGTCAGTAGGCACCTGTCCTTCTTTCCAGATCTTTTGCAATAATGGAGTCAGCATATCTTCTGTCGTTTCTGGGTCCGCTTTCAGAAGCTTGATTGCATCCATGACTTCAGCTTTCGTTGGAGGATTGGTGTCAACTTGCAGTTTTGTACGTGCTGTTGTTGGTATTTCTGGACGGGTTGTAGGTGGTGGTCGGTTCAAGAGTCCTTTGAAGTGGTCCGCCCATTGTTTAATCTGTCTTTGAGTTGAACTCAGCGTCTCCTTCTCTTGTCCGTCTTTGCATTGAATCATTTTCTCTTTCATCATTCTCCTCTCCCCTATTAGCTTCCAAGTGTCCGTTGAGAGCCATTCCTTGTCGTGTTTCTTCTTTCTTCCTAAAACCGTTGAACACGTTTCGTTGAAAATCACCTTCAGAGAGTTCCAATGGTCTTCCACGCATGATTCCTCAGTGATGCCGCGTAGTGTTTCCTGCTTTGCTCTGACAGTTGCAGTGAAAGTGTCCTTTGTGGTTTTGTCCTTCAGTTTTTGCGTGTTGAACTTGTATATATATATATATATATATATATATATATATATATATATATATGGGAGAAGTTGAATAAGGATGATAGAATTACATAGTAAGGTGAATTATCTGATGAGTTGTAGTCAAGTTGCAAATTAAAACAAAGAAAATATCATACTATGAAAGAATTCGAAACAACGGAAAAGTTAGAAAAGTTCACAGCCTAAGTAGTTGAAGGATTCCACTTCGTACGCAGAGCTTCGGCTTCTCCTTCTGTATGGTTAGAACTTCAGCAATTCAAAAAAGGAGAATGAGTATTCTTTTTGGGTGTGACCGCTCTCTACTTTTTGGATTACTTTGACATGGTGTTTAACCACCGCACTCCTTATAAAGCCGCTGCTACCTCTGTGCAACGATGTGGGATTGTGTTTTGAACCCTATTCGATAGAATGCTCATCGAAAGACCAATATACCTAGCTATTTAAGAGCAGTCGCACTTATATGTGCACATAAAAATGGTCAAATGCAAAATCTTGTCTTTCATACTTCTATAAACCCCAATAGTCAACTGAATGACACTACTCTTAGTGTTGTCGCAAAGAACGTTCTTCTCAAGCAATTACCAAAAGTTAAATAACCCTTGAATTCAAGATTCGTTTAGAACTTATTCTTTTGGCATAGAGAACGTCTCATGTTTTTTAATTTTTCACCTCAGCCTTACTATCTCCTGTTTAATGCATGCTATCTTTGTATTAACTACTCACCAAACACTTTTTACAATCTTCAACTGAATTGTCGATTCTCCTTCCCCATATTGCATGCATCTTATTATTATTTATTATTATTATTGTATCCTTTAATTCCTACAGGAACATAGGGCTTCAGCCGTGCGTCTCCATTGCGTTCGGTTCTCTGCTAGAGTCTTCACCTGCCTCCAAGTCTGCCCACACGTTTTCATCTCCTCTTCACATGACCTCCTCCAAGTCACCCTCACCCTTGCACTGACAACCAACTCGCCGCTTCCCTTTCGGGTTCCACTCGAGCAATGGCTTGTGTAGTGATGTCACTTGATGGTTTGTTTCCTCAGAGTATGACCAGCCAATCCATCTCCATTTCTTCCTGCGTATTTGTTTCACAATCGGTTCCTACTGAGTTGGTTCGCTCATTGCCAGAGATCCCACCCTGTTGCTGATCTTTTCTGGCCGGCTGGCCATCTGATCTTGAGCGAGGTATTGAGCGAAGACAACTGTTAATGAAGGTCTGTAGTTTGTTTGAGATGCTCTTTATGACGCGCCTAGCATGCATCTATTATATGATTAATCACCACGGTCATCGTTATCTTGCATTTCACTTTATTTTGTCATTGGATTCAGCTTAGGGTGTCTTTAATACAAATACTATATATATTTTGTTATCCTATAACTAATCTGTTATTCTACATAAAAAAGTGACTAATATTGCAAAGATAACAAATGTTATTTTGTTGTCAGATGGCTGGAGGCGATCAGCAGGAATCCCTACCTGGCCTAGGTTTCATGTTTGCTGACAATGGTTATCAAGCTGTATGTGTAATCTTGAGTAAATTCGTATCTCTTGTGAGATCCTGACCGGCGTCATCCAGTGCTGCAGCCAAAGATGTTACCACTGTACTATTCAGGCTTGCGACTGATCTCCTGTAGAACTGTATTGGATACGTTATAACTGGATACTAAGTAGTAACTGTTGGCATGCATCTGGTCCTTGGTGTCGGTGCAGACTGAGTTTCTATCAGTCAATTTATTTTATTCTATCATTGTAGGAACCTGAAGAGAATTTTTTGGAAAGAATATTCTTCGTTCAGATCGACTTTTAAGTATGAAGTACTGCGGAATTATTTTCTTGTAGAGATAGCTTGTTATTATTCTATTGAATATTAGTGCATACAGTGAATTACCCCCACCCCGCTTTATTTACCCCTCTATTACAGGCGATTAAGTTTTATACGTACAACTAGACAGCTTATTTCTGAAGGCGGAATTCTGGGATTATGGCGTGGTGGCTTACCGAATGTACAACGTGCAGCACTTGTAAATATGGGTGAATTGACAACTTATGATACAGCTAAACGTTGGTTTGCTGTACGATTTCGTCTTGAGGTAGGTTGTAGACTGCATTTATTTCTGATTTTCACTAATAAAAAAAAGATTGTTAGAGATGTTAACGAGCTACAATTCAGTGGTCTTAGTACTTCAAGCGTTTAAAGCTTCTTTTTTATGTATTGAGACTTAGTTAGCTAAATGATATCAGTGCCTGTCGCATGATAGCTTTCATGGGTCAACAGTTGGCTGCACAAACTAAATAATAATAGCTCTATGCTGAACAACTAATATGTCGATGATTCACTGGTTGAATACTAGTCAGATACATGGGTTTCCGAGTTCTATTCTCGACCGATGTGCTCCTAAACTCGGTAATACTCCTGAAAAGAAGGGGGGGGGGTTGCGTATAGGGCCAGAAACTCCACTCCGTAAAAACCAGACAACCGCACTACAAAGCTAGAAGCGGTATGTTCCACTCGGGGAACGTAAGCGATGGAGGAATATACTATGCTGGATAACACACTTAAACGCAGTACAATCTTTCAAGGAAGTAGTAATTGATAGTAGGTCATTTGACGCTGTGAATCTTATTCGATCTAAATCATGTTCCAACCTGCCACTCTACACCTTATAATATTGTGGTTATTATTACTGTTATTAAACTGAGAAATTTCGCCATACTATAAAGCCGCTGGTGGTTAGTCTGAGCTCTGTAAAAAGAAATTTAACATGCCTAATTGAAATGTTTTCTTATTTTGTTTGATATTTATTATTTTATCTCCACAGAAAATCTCACCTGCCACAACAACTATTAAGTGATACTAATAGGTCAGTCAGTTGTAGTTGAAATTCTTGTCCCAACTGGCCCAGTGTGAAATGTTCATTTAAAAGAAAAGGCGTTCAGTGAAGAGTAACTCTCTTAAGTGATATCATTTTTCCAATGGTTCCCTAACCAATGTCAGCTCATAATGAAATCCTGTAACCAATCAACCAAATCCCTGCAAACCAATACTTGAATATCAATGAGATGCTCACTGGCGACTGGCCCTATTCAGGTAGGTAGTTACCTGGGGTTCCAGTGGGAAGTCGTGACCAGTAGGGGCAGCAGGTCGGGTGTGAGGACAAATACTAACCGATGTCATTAGCTAGCGGTTGCGCTATATCGTGAATTGGCAGAAGCTAGAATTCATGGGCCATTGGATCGGGTCCCAGTGGTTTAATGGTATACGAGCTCGCCTTGTAACCAGAAGGTCGTGGGTTCGAACCCGGGTGGGTGTGTACTGATGAAGAGTCCCAAACTAGGACGAAACAGCTATCCAGTACTCCCAGGTTTTCCAATGAATCTCCAACCAATGTCAGCTCATGATGAAATCCTGTAACCAATCAACCAAATCCCTACAAACCAATAGTTGGATATCATTTTTTTTGGCAACATAAGAAATATTCCCAAGGATGCGCACCATTAGGATTGTTCAGTTCAGAGCAGATGTGCATAAGTGATGACACCATGTGTTTGGTGTGTGATATGGTACTATCGAAATGAAGAGTGATTCCAAAGTACCGTCCTTCAGTTTGAATAACTGACTGACTGTGTACAGTTCGATGATGTTCGGATCTGTACACACAGAGTCAAATCGCATACCCATTTTTACGGCACTCATGAATCAATGTGTCATATGGATTTTGTCTGTTTATTTGCTTTCCAATCAAATACACAAACACTTACTTGAAAAAACCTCCCACATCATTCCGATTCTATTGACTATTATTATCCAGATGGGAAATTGACTAATTGCACTTTAATATTGTTGTCTATATATGTGTACTACTTACAAATCTTATCAGTAGCACGCTCCACACCATCATAGGGTAAGTCGTTCAAACTGTGTTCAGGATTCTGTGGGTGAAATTGTGCTGCTGGTGAGTAGGAGGGATGTAATAAAAGCAAGCTATTCCCATCAGATGACCAGCAAGCCAGTTATATGCTACCTCTCCACTTTGGAGAGGGGGGGATAAGGAAAGGTCGACCCGAAAAATTGTATGTCCCGACTTATCTTTTAGCGACCCATCTTGATACGGACACAACTCCGACAGCTTGTCCTTCAAAAGCGTTGTGTATTTTAGTGGCCTGAAGCAGTTTTTCCCTGAGCTGTTCGGTCAAGCAATACTAGTTGTTCTTTTGTTTTATATACTCAAAAAAGAAATCAGTCTCTACTCTGCAGACAGCTTAAGAAGTAACGATCGCTCACAGACTTCCATAAGCCGACAAAACTCACCTAATTATCACCCACCTTCTATAAATAATAAATTCATTGAAGAACTCTTTTTTGAAGGTGATTTTCTTCATATATTTCTAATCTGTTTTAAATTTTTTTCCCTGCAGGATGGTCCATTTCTCCACTTTTGTGCATCACTTACCTCAGGGTTTGTATCTGCAGTTCTTGGCACACCAGCTGATATGATTAAAACACGCATAATGAATCAACGTTTATCGTCACCGTCGTCATCACCATCGCCTTCAAATAATCATAGTGGTCTATTGTATAAAGGTGTTATTGATTGTTTTTGTAAAGTAGTCAAGAATGAAGGCTTTCTGGCCTTGTATAAAGGCTTCTTTCTAATATGGGCTCGTATGGTAAGATGATCGTTGGTCAAATTTTGTTTTATTTTTATTTTTTCATTCTTGGCGTTTCGAGTGAGACACTGCATGTTACGTGAAGTGGTGGAGCACGTTGACCGCTTCACTTACTTGGGAAGTACCATCAGCCCCAACGGGTTGATCTCCGACGAAATCTCAGCACGAATACAGAGGGCTAATTTCACATATGCCAGTTTACGCCGTCTCTGGTATAGACGTGATATCCTACTATCGACCAAACGGCGTGTGTACTCCTCATCAGTCCGCTCCGTCCTCCTTTATGGCTGTGAGCGAGACCTGGCCATTGAGAGTGGAAGACATGAAAAGATTAGCTGTCTTCGATCAAAGGTGTCTGCGTTCTATCTCCCATGTGAAGTGGTATAATAAGGTGAGCAATATTGAGGTTAGGCTTCAGTCGAGCGCTAGGTAAGGAGGGAGGGGAAATCAATCGACGAGACTGTGAAATTACATCGACTGAGATGGTTAGGACATGTGTTACGTATGTCTAGTCATCGCCTTCCTCGACCAACGGGCAATGTTAGCTGATATAGGGTCAGGCTGGAAAAGAGCTAGCGGCGGTCAAACGAAAACATGGCACCTGTCAATGAAATCTACAACAGTTAGTTTAAGCCAGACACGTAGGAAGGTATAGACTTCCTGACTGGTTGGAGTCCTCGAGACGGTAAACATCAATGGCTTGAGACAATTGGTGACATGGCTCAAAATCGTTCTTAGTGGCTGGTGCAGATACATCCACTCCTTGTGACTTATGATTTCCAATGAAACTGTTTTGTTCTTCGTTATTACTATACCTTTGTCTCACACCTCTGTTTACTGTCTATACTATGCATTCCTCCTACTTTCTTCTCTTCCTTTGTGTGCTACATGGAGTGTGGTGACTTGAACTACCGCACATATGTGCAGAGTTCTATGTCGAAAACTGACAGACTGCATGGCAGGCCTTGAAGTTTCAGTGATGATGGTCTTTTCCTTTTACTAGTCTCATGTCCATCCTTACCTCTTCTCCCTGGCTCACTACATAAGCTACGCGAGGTTTTAAAGTGCGCTGACTGCGAGTTGAACATGGATATCCTGCATGACTGGCAAGCATTTTACTATTGAACCACCGACGCTACTTTTCTATGATATGTCATAATTTTTGTTTCGAGTTTTAATGGCTTGTTCATCTTACCGGTGTGTGTGTTATACATGCACGAAAAAGAACAAATTTACAGTAAAAACTGGTTGATTTTAAAGAAAGATACGTTTCATTCAGTTGATTCCCCTGATAAATTTCAATAAAAGAAAAGGCGTTCAGCTAAGAGTTACTCTTTTCGGCGATATCATTCTCTCAAGATGTACAATCGCAGATATTTTGATTGGACATTAGTAACTAATGTGATATGTCTAGTCCTTTGTTTGGTACAGACTGAATTCTGTCAGTCAAGTTTGCAATGTGGACATCATTCTATGTAGCTCGTCATCATGGTGCACTGTGAATTGTTGGTATTAGATGGTTGGAGGCAATTGGCAGGATGTGTCATTGGAATTGGGTCAGAAACTAAAATGAGATTAAATAAGCAAATTGAGTGACGTAATCTAATTGACAGGGTTGAGTAGAGCTAAACTAAAATTAAAATTGAACAAAAGTTAAGTTAACGAAAGTGGTAATAAGGGATGTGGATTTGGGGTTGTTTAGGAAGGAGAGGATTTGTTCATGTAGTGGTGTCATAAGTTTAAAAAGCCTTAGCAGGTCGATTGATGGATATATTCATCGTTTTGTGGTTTGTTTGAGACTTTGACCAATTTCGGCTTTTAGCCAGCTCTAACCACAGTATGAGGACTTATGTACATAAAGTTTGTATGCCATCGATGTGGTTTGGTTAATTCATCATGCCATATTAACATTACGAGAGATTGAAACGTTCACTAACAGCTTCACAACACGGGGTAAAAATTTCTTTTTTTAATCATTCATATTCCTTAAATTCATCAGAGTTATTTTGATAACTGTTGAACAAATAGTAGTTCCCGGGGCCTGGTGTTCTAGTGTGTATGGAGCTTTGGTGTTTTGAAACAATGCCTGCTGAGTTCGAATTTCAGTGGAAACACCACCACCATCACTCATTCGAGATGCATGCACATCCAGTCAACTAGTCCCAAGATAGGGTAGAACACACATCCCCTATTCCATTCCTAGCCACCATTAATCGAGTCATATTCAAATTCATGTTTAAAACAATAAGTCCAGTTTAAGTTTATCAATGATAGTTTGAATAACTTTCAATGTCTAATTTGTCATGTTTACACTCCACTAATGTTCTGTGTCTGTCTCCTTTAGGCACCTTGGTCTTTAACATTTTGGTTAACATATGAAAAAATTCGTTCGTTAGCTGGAGTGAGCGGTTTTTGAAGACATCTACTCCAATTGTATGTATTTGTGTGTGTGTCCGAATGTGCGCGGACGCTTTACACCGATTCTACTTGTTCTCTATACTAGACTTCTAGTCATCAATGATCACTATATGGAAACGGTGATTTTTTCCCCGTATGGATTGAGAAGAAATCAATAATATTGATTTATATAATCATTTCAATTGCTTTGATATTTTTTCTGTTTTGTAGTTTGAGAATAATTTTCTTCCTCATTGAAAACAGTTTTCACACTCTTATTGATGAAACAGTCTTTCAAGTTTCCACTAATTTAAAAAGTTATGTAATTTATTATTGATATTATTATTATTTAATCATTGTAGAATTTACAGATGAACTCTTTTATAATAATTATATTTTATAGTTATGTCTTTTTACCTGTGTCATTTGATGATATATATCATGATGCTCACTAGTGACTGGCCCTATTCAGGCAGTTAACCTGGGGTTCTAGTGGGAAGCCGTGACCAGTAGGTTACAGCAGGTTGAAGATGAGGCAGTAACTCATCGAAGAAGACATTGCGAAATGGTTGCGCTATGTCGTGAATTGGCAGAAGTTAGAATTCAAAGACCATTGGATCGGGTCCCAGTGGCTCAATGGTGTACGAGCTAGCTCGCCTTGTAACCAGGAGGTCCTGGGTTTGAATCCCGGTGGATGCATACTGATGAAGAGTCCCAAACTAGTGTGACGAAACAGCTGTCCAGTACTCCCAGGTTTTCCAGTAGTTCTCTACCTGATGTCAGCTCATGATGAAATCCTCCATTGTGATATATATTGAAGAAAACTCCATCCTGTCCGTCACTACTTCGCACTAGAACTCCAGGGAACTCCGTCCTGTATCAAGTCACTAGAGAGTATAAGATCAATTTTCAAGAGTTAATTTGTAAGGATTTGGTTTGTTTTTAAGAGTTTGACGATGGATTGATATCAGTTAGAGAACCATTGAAAGCCAGCCACAGGGAGTACTGAACAGCTGCTGTTTCATCCTAGTTTGGGAATCATCGGCAGTGGATGGATACTGCCCAAGGGGGATTTTAAAATGGTAGGCGTAAGGTGAGCAATACTAAGGTTAGGGGTCGAGTGCTAGGTAAGGAGGGGAAATCAATTGACGAGACTGAGATGATTAGGACATGTGTTACGTATGTCTGGTCATCGCCTTCTTCGACGACGGGCAATGTTAGCTGACAGAGTCAGGCTGGAAAAGAGCTAGCGGCGATCAAACGAAAACATGGAACCAGTCAATGAAATCTACAACAGTTAGTTTAAGCCACGTAGGAAGGTGTAGACTTCCGCACTGGTTGGGGTCCTCAGGACAGTAAAATCCAGTGTTTGGAAACAATCGGTGATATGGCTCAAAATTGTTCTGAATGGCTGGCGCAGATGCATCCACTCCTTGTGACTTGTAATTTCCAATGTAACTATATTGTTTTTCGTTATTACTATACCTTTGTCTCACACCTCTGTTTATTGTCTATATTATGCATTTCTCCTTCTTTCTTCTCTTGCTTTATGTGCTACATGTGGGGAGTGTGGCGACTTGAACTGCCGCACATATGTGCAAAGTTCTATATCGAAAACAGACAGACCGATAGAGGCGTGACGGTTTATAACATTGTCTTAACTGTGGATAGTTAAATCTTGATGACTGACAGACTGGCTCTGCACACAAATACACACACTGTTGAAGTTGCCACATTCCTTGTAGTACACAAGGATAGAGAAAAAAAGGGATTAAAAATATAGAACTACAATGGATAGAAATGTTCGGGAAAAAGAATAAGTAACTTGGAAAAGTATGAAGACTTAATGGTGGATATAGGGGATTAAAAAAGGATTGAATACATCTTCACCATTGTGAATAATAGATTTGATTCATATGAGCAATTATCTAAAGCCATTGATCCTTAGCATCCCGAGAACACACACACAGATCCCTCCCCAACCACACAGTTTACGCCTCCCTAGATGGTTGACTCAAACCTGACAACCCAGGAAGGGAACACATCATGGGTAGAGAAGCTCTTGGAGAAAGGGAAGCGGCGAGTTGGTCGTCCAAGGGTGGAGAGGGGATGAAAACATGTGGGCAGACTTGGAGCCAGGTGAAGACTCTAGCAGAGAACCGAACGCAATGGAGACGCATGGCTGAAGCCCTATGTTCCTCTAGGAATTAAAGAAAACAATAATAATAACTGTCAAAGACCTTATGGGTTATTGCCAAAGTCTGCTTTAAATTGTGGTATTTTCACACTGTCATTCTAGACGTTTACAGTACACAATATTTTCAAGTGAATTATGCAAGGCCTACGTAGACATCCTTCGTGACACTGATGTCTACTGAATTCACCTATCTTTATATCTTTCGTACAGAATTGCCGTTGCTAATTTCTTTGAACTTATGCCCGGTTTTAGTCATTTTTCTTCAGGACTAATTGCTTCAGAAATTGGAAATGAAGAAGACTTGTCCTTCAAATGGATGACATTCGTGTATTTGTGTTCTCACGAAGCAGTGACTAGATAATGAAGTTATCGCGCTTTTGGTACTTTCCACTCTTAATGGTCGTTAACTCTGCTCACACGTATCAGTGGATTTACTGTTCGTCAGGGTCATTTAAAGCCGATACATTTAGCGTATCTATGAGTTGTGTTTTGACTGTTGTTTGAGAGACGGTGAAAGTTCTGTTGTGGATTTTCCCTCTTGATGTTGATTTTCTGGGATTAACAATGTGAATAGTTTTCGTAAACACACTAGTTTCATGTTTTTTTTGTAGTTTGCTAGGTTGTATACCCAGTCAAATCAGTTATTATCATGGAATTTATCCAACACATACTTCGTACATTATAACCAACAAGAGATGCACCCCATAAAAACGCACAGTTTCTCTGAGGGATGTAATACTCCTTCGACACCCAGACAGAAGCAGATGGTTGTCTCCAGAGCCTTTGACCTGAAGTCTTATCCACAAGGCCATAGAAGACCATCAAGAGCTGCGTCCTTATAGTTTCCGGTGACCGAAAAAGGCTCATAAACCATTTGGTTCGTTGAGACTTTGGAGCCCATATACACCAATGATCTGAAACCAGGGTGTTCCAGCTCTAGGTGTAGACCAGCGTATCCACTTGTCTGGTTGTAAGCACCAAAAGTTCGCATTCACCCTTTGACTTTTCTGAGAAATGCCCCTGTCGCGTGAAGGGAGTGAATAGGAGACTACTCAGCTGGCTGGGGTTCTGAACGCTTGGCCACATGACAGCATTCGGTGAAGAAGACGGCAGTCTACCCACCCTCTTCCGTATCATTTCGTTTATAGGGACACTTTGATGAAATAGAAATTAAAGAAAGAAGCTATTATTATTGTTTCCTTTAATTCCTAGAGGAAAATAGGGCTCCAGCCACGCGTCTGCATTGCGTTCGGTTCTCTGCTAGAGTCTTCACCTGGCTCCAAGTCTGCCCACACATTTTCATCTCCTCTTCACATGACCTCCTCCAAGTCACTCCACCTTCGCACTGACGACCAACTCGCCGCTTCCCTTTCGGGTTCCACTCGAGCGATGGCTTGTCTAGTGATGTCACTTGATGGATTGTTTCCTCAGAGTATGGCCAGCCAATCCATCTCCATTTCTTCGTGCCTATTTGTTTCACAATTGATTCCTGCTGTGTTGGTTCGCTCATTGCCAGAGATCCCACCCTGTTGCTGATTTTTTCTGGCCAGTTGGGCTAATAAAATTATTCCTAATGCAGTAAACGTTTTGAATACGCATTCATAAAATGAAACTGTATTGACTGATATTAATTTGGGGATAACAAGTTGAGAAATATAATCAGGAATCAATTGTGAATATTGTAAAATGAGCATCTGCTGTAACATATTTCAGTCTAGTAGGATTCAGGGAAACTAATGCAGGTTCTGCAGTTGAAACCAACGGAAAGACAGACACTTTTGTCTTTTAGTGTGATACTTATATTTGCTATGTTTCACTTCTTAGCATCAAGTACGAAAGAACTCAGTGGAATTAAAATGACAATAGAAGAAAGTGAAAAAAAACAAGGTGAATGAAGATTACCGAATATGTTTGGAACCTGAAGTATATGCATTAAACGACTTGTACTGTGTATATGAGTAGCAACAATCAAATCTTACATCTCTAGCTCAGTTAGCGACTGATATTTTTAACAGCCGGTCGGGTGTGAGAAAAAGACATTGGATAGTGAACGCGCTCTATGGTGAATTGACAGAAGTTGGAATTCGTAGGCCACTGGATCAGGTCCCAGAAGCTAAATGGTCTACGACCTCGCCTTGTAACCGGACGGTCATTGGTTCGAACCCCGGTGGGTGTGCACTGCTGGAGAGCCCTAAATCAGCTATCCAATATTCCCAGGTTTTCCAATGGTTCTCTAACCAATGTCAGCTCATGATGAAATCCTCCAACCAATCAAATCCCTGTAAACCAACATCTAAAATAAAATTCCTCAGTAGGCTTCCTCCGGTATACTCTCTAGTAAAAGAATCGAACTTATGGTGTGAAAATGAATAATACCACATAGCTGCTACAATCTTGTCAGACTTTAAATTGATTAGAGTGCCTCACCTATTGCTAAGAAGTTGAGTTCCCAAAACATGACTCTCTAATAAACTAGTGAAAAAGTGATTGCATATTCGAAACTGCGTCATTACGTCTTCATAGCACGAGATGCCAATACAATGTAAGAAATACGACTATAGTTAGAAACTACTTCTTGCCATACGAGTACGTTTTGAGTTCTGCTGGATGGATACATGCAAACAAGAGAAACTCCATGTCATACCCTTAATCACTCTATAAGACGAAAATAACAGTTGAAGCAGAGTAATATATTATCATTATTTTATTTCGTCGCCACACTATTATTTCTCTTGCGTTCCAAGTGGAACATAGGACTTCAGCAATGCATTTACATTTCATCCTTTTCCCTGCAACCCCTTCTAGTTGGCTCCACGATCACCAATAAACTTTCATTTCCTCCTCTTCTTACAATCTCCTCTATGTCATCCTCGGAAGTCTTACTTGTTTCTCATTCGGCTTCCACTCCAGGCCCTGATGTGCATGATGTTGTTATTCGACAGTCATCTCAGCATATTTGCAATCCATCTCCACTTCACAGTAAGTTGTTGGTTTGGTTTTGGTTGTCAGAGCTCCTTGTTGGTTATACTTCATAACCATATCTGATCTTCAGTGTCCAGCCAGAGTAGACAGTTGTCTATAGAAGTCTGAAGCCGCATACAACCTACGGGAATTTAAGTATAATGTAACTGCAAAAGATAATATGATGTCAGCTGACAAAAAATTCCCAAATAATA